TTTCCTCCTTATGTTAACTGACGTGCCAAATCGAGCAAGACCAACAAGAACTACTTGTTCAGGTCTGGGTCCTCTATGCAAAAAGAGGTTGTCTCGGTTTTGGCTGCAGTGGCAGAATTAATTAAAGAACGCAACGGTACGTACTCAGTACATATTTAGACGATTTTGTTGTTCCTACTTCTTGAATACCAAACATTGCCCAAACTTTCCTTGATTTTTCCATACATGTAGTGAATTTCACTGAACTTTGAGAGCCCAATATAGTGACCATTGAAGAGGTGTAGAATACTTCGTGGGGATTTCTAGTTTCCGTAATTGGACTCTCTTTTCTGGAATCTCTGCTCACCCAAATCCACTCCCCCGCCTCCATTTCATTGTTATGCGATGAAAACCATACCATTCCGCGTAGTTTCTGTGAATGCAATTTTAGCTGTAGAATATGTGCGTAAAACGCACTAAACTCCTCCATTTCGTCGCCTCATTATTTCTTTCTGGATCTTCTGCTACAAACCGTAGTCTCCTAGAAAGTTCCTCTTCCTCATTCAAAGTTCTCCTCTTGATAGTTCTAATTCTGAAAAATTTTTCGCTGACTGTACTCACAGATTCCTGGGTTTCCCACAAGCTGTATCTATTGTTAACATCCTACAAAAGGTCCATAAAAGAATTGACTTTCCCTGACAGGTATTGCCTTTTGTCGAAATTGAAGTGCCACCTTTTTTGAAGTCCGCTTTATGGCGGGCTAAATTCGACTTTATTTGATCTCTCTTCTACTGTCTTCGGATTTTTACCGTTGCAATTGTATTCCGACCTGTTCCCTTCGATCCCTTGTCATTTTCTCCTTCTCTTATATTTCTCCGTATTTACTCTGCTGATCATCTACTTTTGCTCTTGGTTAAAAGCCTGTATTTTAGGGTCGGAAACTGATGTTGAATACTTCGCAGCTCTAATCACAACCCTCGAGGGATCCCCTCTCAGTGAACCGTCTAGAACTGCTGCTGTCGCTTTTCTTTTACAGTTGATCGTTAAAAAAGTTCCGAAAGAAGTCCTCCAATCGCAGTTCACAAAGATCGTTCAGGTCAGTCGGTTCTTTTAAAAAGCCATCTTCATTTTATGAAGGGTCAATTTTGTTATAGGTTCTGTACACTAAAATGCTGGAAAATTCGGAAAGTAGCGAGGGATCTGCACTCAAATATTTGCTTTCGGTTTTAGGCGTTGTTTTACGAGCTCAACCTGCCGGGGTTTGGAATGTCGCCAATACCAAGTCAGATATTTTATTCCTTGTTTATTTTTGTAATTGCTAGTTTTGGTGTTCGCATTAGCATCGCATTTCAGAAATATGGTAGTGTCGGTCGCATCTCTCTGCGCTCATGAGAAGCCTTGGGTACGAACCATGGCACGTCGTGTTGTTAGAGCGGTGCTAACTGATCCTATTACTGCAATGGATAATGGCCTCCATCCCGCATCCCCTAGCGTTGGAATGTTTATACAACAACAGCTACAATCAGCACTCAGTAAGTCTATCGAATGCACATTATTCCAACAAAATCTATCCAGGGCACGTGATTTTGATGGTAGGAGAAGTTACGCGACAAGCTAAAAAGGACTATTCAGAGGGCCATTCTTGAGTTGTTATTAGATATCGGGTTAAATTCTCATTCTAATCTTACATTTGTCACCCTGGACCAGTCATTAAGTTTGGATGTACTCTTGATCTGATACAGTCTCTCGTAATGCGATCGTTCAAAATTCATCACTTCAGGCTCCAAAAATGGTGAAACGACAGCAATGCGATACCTGTGTTTACTCGAGGGAGTTATGCATAAAATGCCCAGTCCTCTATTCAAGCAACTCGCTGAAAATATCTTGTCTTCTTTCGCTATTGCGGATCCCATGGTGTGTTTGTGTTCTTCTTCACTTTCCCTTCACTCAATCACTTCTCATCAGAGAGGTTCAGGTGAAATGCAGCGCACTGCAATGCCTGCACCGCTGCCTTCAACGTCAGCCATGCGATGCTGCACTTCCAGTTGAGACGAATGTGTTGCTTGTTAAAGCTCTCAAACAGTTATCTCCGCCTTATGAAGACATCACAGTATGTGCTTACTGGATGCAGGCACTTGCAGAGGCTCACGTATGTCTTACTGCAAAGGATCCTCACAGGTATTAGCTGGAGATTTCTTCTTTTCTCGTTATGTCCGGATCATTTTTCTCGGTGTTTATCAGCGCGTTCTTTCTAATCCTGGAAATTGAATTCCTATCCATTTTGTAGTGTACCGTTCATAGGTATCGAAAGTCTGAAGTCTTTATGGCGTTTCACCCTGTCTACCATACTTTGGTATTTCTAGTGAACATTATTTGTTCAGGTGTTATTCGCTACTACCTGCAACTCTTGAGTTAATGGTTAAGCTCTTTGACACTGGTGACGAGCAGCTCGCTCAGCTCACTTATCAGGTTTGTCATACGTTTGACATTTCGAGTTTCGCTAATGAATTCAGAATATTTTCGTAGTTTCTTGTGTGCGTAATCATTATTTCGTGCAGATTCTGGCTCGACTTATTGAAAGGAGTGTACAAGATAATGAAGAATGTGCCAAAAGCCTTCTTTCTTTGTTAGATCGCGCTCTAAATGTTCATTCCACCACTGTATGGAAATATGTTTTGAGGTAGGAATTGTTCTTTACGATGTTTTTGTTCCACTACTCCATGCTATATGTTTAGATCGCAGATGCGCCTCTATGAAAGCGCAGGCGCCGGAATTATAGGGGAAGAGTTTGAAAAAGCATTGAAAACACTGGCACTATTGCGTGAAAGTGACGAATGCTTCTGCAAACAGGAACTTGACTTCGTAAGTGGTTTTCCAAGATTCCCTCGTAGGTATTTGTTCGATTTGATTCATGAGATTTGTTGCAATGTGAGCTAGGCTTAATTTTCTGTTTTCATTTTCTCAAGATAGTGGTCTGTTCAGACGCACTTGTTCAGACCGTTGGCTGTGCTGTGCGCCACGTTGGTGCTCCAGCGGTGTTGTCTGTA